GTCCTGCACCCCCCATGTCAGGACCTCAAAGCACCACACAGCTCATCCTTCCTGAGGATGCTGGGGGTGATGTCCCCCACAGGCTATGCTGGGGTGCTAGGGAGGTGCCACGTCCCCTCCCAGGCCAGCACCTACCAGGTTGTGATGAGGTACTGAGCCAGGGTGATGTTGACGGGGGTCCCTGTGATCGTCACGTGCCGCTCGCTGGAGCCCTCGGTCTGGTTCCCGATCTTGATGTGGGCGCCCGACATCTGCCGGATCTCGCTGATCTTGCTGCCGTGCCGGCCGATGATGCAGCCGATGAGCTGGAGAGGCAGGGAGCACGGTGAGCTGGGAGCAGCCAGAGGAGCCACACTGAGCAGGGAGCTCCCAGAGGCTCACCCAGCCACCCGCTACACTTGGGAGGAGAGGGGAAACTGAGGCAGGCACCAGGAGGGCAGGGTGCTGCTTTCCTTGGGCAGATCCTGCTTTTTGTCTCACTCAACACCATCCCAGCTGGCATTGCTGAGCTGCCACATCCCAAGGCTCTTCCTTGGCACTGGCCAAGCCCTTTCTCCCTCCCATGCCTCAGTTTCCCTTTTTCTTCCAGCTACTTCTGTCTTAGCAGCCTCTCCTGCCCCTGAGCTCTGGGGGCTGAGGCACAGCCTCCAGCTGTGTGGGATGGTGGGTGCTGTTCCCTGCCAAGCGGCTGCGGGGTGGGACACATGGGTGAGGGCAAGCTGTGCTCTTCCTTGCCATCCCCAGACCCTCACGTACATCGTTGGGCACCAGAAACTCCTGGGAGCTGCTTTGGGAGCTGGTGTCCAGGCCTGGAGGAAGAGACAGGGGTGTTAGCAGTGGGGAGGGGGGTCTCCAGCAGCTCCGTGTCCCCACCCCAGCCCCATGAGGGAACAGTCAGTGGCTCTGGGGACAAACCTGAAGGATCCCTGGGGAGAGGCAGGGGGATTGGGAATGGGCATCAGTTGTAATTTGGTGCTGGTGCTCCTCCACTGCAGAGCTGGGGGGCTCTGGTGAGTGCAGGCATCCCAGAAAATCAAGGACAGGGTCATTCTGGGGGGCAGGTAGCCATGCCGGGGGAAGCAGGACAGGAGATGGTGCAGGGGACAGGGATCCCCTCGTCAGGGCCAGGTGGCTGGGGGGGGTTAGGAGGGGCACCCCACACCCCCAGCCCTTGGGGGCCATGGCAGACGCTCACCTGGCACCATGGCAGGTGCGTGGCCCAGGGAGGCGAAGGGGAGTGTGTGCCCTGAGAGCTGCTGCAGCTTCGTCATCTGCCCGAGCAGCAGGAGGAGGAGGGAGGAGGCATTAGGGGTGACAGCAGAGAGTTCCCTGTCCCCTCCCGGGGCTGGATGCTGGCACCCAGCATCTCCCAGGACAGGCGTCCGTGGCAGCGCCCGCCCCAGCAGGCACAGGACCGATGCCCATGGGAGCAGGGGTTGGCTGCCATGGGGACACTCACCTCCGCGGGAGAGACCCCGCTGTACTGCCCCTGCATAGAGAAGCTCTGGGAGGAGAATGAAGGGGCATCAGTGGGGGACCAGGTGAGGACCCCTGCCTCAGGCCACCCCCCTGGGGCAGGGAGGCCACCCTGGGTCCACCAGTCACCCCTTACAGGCAAAGGCTGACCTCCCCGGCCACCCCACACCTCTGGGGGGGATGCAGCTCCTTACCTGGTTGGCAGAGAGCAGGATGGTGCCCAGGGAGAGGCCAGGGTGGTAGGGGATGGTGGCCCCCTTCGGAGGTGACTGGAGAGGGAGGGAAGAAGGTGGAGGGGATGAAAGATGAGGTCAAATGCCCCTGCAGGCCCTTGGATCCCCTTGGCCCCCAACACGCTGGGCATGGCCCCCAGCACTGCTGAGGCACAGGGCTCCCGTGGGCTTCAACACAGCGGGACCCCGGTGCCCAGGTTCAGGTGGGCATGGGAAGGCCCAGGGAGCAGGGAGCAGGCAGTGCATGCCCCCACCCCCGCTCTGGGAGCGTGGCTCAGTGGGTACCTCCAGGATGACGGCGCAGATCTGCCTCACGCACTGGATGATGGAGTCTGGCACTCCCGAGACAGTGACGGCCCGTTCAGTCGAGTTGGGCAGCAGGTCGCCGGCCACCTGCACCTGTGCCCCTGTGGTCTGTGCAGGGGTAAAGGGAGATGCTGGAATGCCACAGCCATAACCCCCCCACCAGGCTCAGCACCTCACACCTTTTCAGTCCCCTCCTGGAACCCTGGGGACCTTTGCAGGAGCCACAGAGCTGGGTGATGCTCCACTCCTGCATCACCTTGCATCACCTCCCATGGCTCCCATGGGGCTGTGGCAGGGCCCCG